GCATGACTTCATTGTTAATTAACAGGTAAAGTACAATGTACAGGAACAAGACACTACTAAAGTGCATTGCAGCCCAGAACTGTGGCAATGCCACAATAAATAATTTCTTGTTTCACTTGTTTTCTTTTCACGTATCATGATATGATATATAGGATATTGCATTTAAAATTTAATTTTTTTTATTTCATTTTTTTAAGTAATTTTATTCCTTTTTTTTCTTCTAGCTTAGGAAATTTTTTAAGACACTATACACTATTTTTGTGTTTTTTTAAAAACTATAAATTTAGAATATAATAATAAAAATAGGCTTAATACATTGCTTATGATACAATTTCAACTTTTTAAATTTACTATTTCAAGTTTACAAAAAAAAATTGTAACTTGTTTGGTATAAAAACAGAACCATTTCATTATACATTATTAGATGACAGTACAGTTCTGATCTATAACACTGTTTGATAATTATCATTCAAATAATTGTATTTGCTTAGAAAACAAATATAATGCATACAACTTTTACAAGCTAAACATCAAGAAACTTTTCATAATTATCACAAAATAAGCATATGTCTTAGTATATTATAGTATGTTATCATTACCAATAGAATTAGAGATTAGCGGAAAAGTTATCTATTTGCCTTTCAGACAACTTTCAGGCTGATAACTGATGATCTGTATGATGATGTGCAAAAACAATATAATTTGGATTGATATCTTTGTAATAATGCATTTTTTAATGGTATTATTTGCTTCCTTACTAAGCAAATGAAATGTGACCTTCTAATTGAAAAAAAAGCAAGAGTTTAATTAAAACAAATACAAAAGTTAGAAGTTATAATAAGAGAATCAATACATTATCCTATTCTTAACAAGATATTATATATAACTTTCAAATAAGAAATATCTATGAAAATTATCTGAAGCCAAAAATAATATGAGAAGATATTTAGTTCAATTACTATATCTAGTATATAAGTGTATGCTGACATATAAATATGTGCATATTAAATTTTTTAATAAATTAAACTATAGAATTTTAATAATTTATTCTCATGATTATTAAATGTCATTTTTATTCACTTAAAATATTTTTTGTTATTATTCAGAATATGCAGAAAATGGTTCTCTTTATGCATTCCTTGCTCAGCAAGAACATAATTCTATGTTGAGTTTTGAACAGATTTTACGTTGGAGCATTGAAATTGCTGCAGGTAAGATTTAAAAAATAAATTTGCTATACTTCAAAAAGTTCAATAAACGTATTGTTCTATCAAAAATGTCAAGTACCAGAAACTGTTTCCATTATGAATGTAATCACAATGCAAATAGTTTTTGAAAAAATGCTTATAAAATTAGAAAAACTAATTACTTTTCAATATTGTATAATAAGATATAAAAATGCCTCATACAGTCTGAGGTAATAATTGGGAATTGGAATGGGAAAAAATGTCATATGATCAAACAAAAGAACAACAACTGACTAAAAATTTGGTAATGAACAATGAAAATTTATCCAAATAAAACATAATTTTCAACTAAAACTATTAAAACAAATATAAATTTCCTACCGTGATATAAGGTTGTTTTAAGTAAATTTGGTAAACATGTAATGTCAAGTTATTTAACCCCATTGTATAGAATTTCTAAATAAATCATACAAAAATTAACTAGTAGTCATGGAAATTGAATCATCTATGATATAAACCAGAAAGCATCTGTACAAACAGATGTGCAAATTTGCTTATTTAAGCTATCACAAACCCATTTATAAAATTAACTTTTTAACTGTCTTGGTTATGTTGTAATAGAAAACGTAAGTAAATGTAAAAAATTTAATATCTGATAGAATTATGACTGATGTAAATTATTCTTTTATTAGAAGGAAAAAGACAGAATTAATGCTACTGTAAACCATAATGTACAAAAAGAATTTGAATGTTATAAAATGTTATATTGAATATGGTGTTAAATTGGAATTTCTTAAGAAATTGTAATTAGGAGGAATATATTTTTACTTTATAAAGTTTTAATAAATTTTAAATTAATTTTACATTAATTAAATTAAAGGGATTGAAGAAGGGCAAGAAATATCCAAAAGGCATATTCCTGTATGAAAGAGTATCTCTTGTTGAGTTTGGCTTCCAGAAAAACTACCATATAAGTTTCATTGAATGTATAGGGTTTTTTTTGGTCACATCTATGCAGATTAAATTTGGATTCATCTGAAAACAACAGAATTCTGTATGTTAATACCCCAGTCTGCAGGCTATTTAGCCTGGACAAGTTGCTGTTTGCACATTCACTTGTCAACAGTGGGCTTTTAAACCCAAGTTACACAGGTGAGATGTAACTGTCTACTCTTTCCACTTTACTTTCATTTTGGAAGAACTAGCAGTACATTCTTGCAGGCTGAGATGCTTCAACATACTGTCCTGTTATGACATTTTCAATCTTGATTGATTGACAATGCATTCTCTGTGATATAATTACTAGAAACATTTCTGCAGTAGATTTCATGAAAAACAATCTCATGATTTTATTATTTTATGAATGATGCAATCGTTACAGTTTCTTGCAGATCTGCAACAAAATGATGCTCTAATTTAAATAAATAAACACATTTTTGTAGAATTTTATGAGTGAGCAATTTCCGTGGTTACTACTGTAGCACTAAGAATCTTTCTGTGAGAATTTGTTCATCTTATTTTAAGTTTCATAATTTGTTTGATAGATGTATTGTTTCAAATAACAAATGAAAAGCCAGATTTAGTGGTGTGTCCTGAGGGGACCAAGGAGCCCTGGCACCCTCTAAAGAAAAGGAGAAAAATAAAAACACTAGAAAATTTTCCAAAAATTATTAAAATTCTTTATTTATATTGTTTCATGTCTTCTATTTCTTTACTACTTATGAATTAGTAGTCACATAAGGTGGGAATTTTACTTAATTTGCAATTAAAACTTGTTTTCTGTTCAAATTAGCTATGCCCAAAATTAAATCCTGAGTGTGTCACTGGCCCGATTCCTTTACCAGTCTACTTAAAGCTAATTAATAAGTAATTTGGCTAGAGGACAAATTACTTATTAATTAGCTTTAAGTAGACAGATGAAGGAGCTGTTTATACATTGTTTGAATTAATTATCAGGTTAATTGTCTATGTGATATCTAAATACTGTTAACCTTCATGCAATTATTTTTTTAAATGCTTCAATATGAACGTTGCATAATAGTTTAATGTAGCTGGCTATTTTAAAAATATTTTTTAATAATACATCATACAGTTGGTTTTATTTTATGCAGGATAGATGTATGTATTTGCAGGTGGAAAATTGTATGCACAAGGATAATTCTGAGTATTAATGCACCTACTGAAATTCATTGTGTAACCAAAAAAAAAAACAAATGCTGTAATAATTAGAAGCAATTTTCTGTGGCCTGTCTTTGAGAAAAAAATTATAAAGATGAAACAAAAATAAAAAGTTTGATAATATTAAGAAAGCAAAAAACATTGTGTATGCAAAGTACAAGTTGTATGAAAGTAAAACAAACTTTTGGCACTACATTACTAAATCAAAATTACAACAAGAGGGTGCTTGCTGTAAAGCACATTTTAATACTTTTCTGTTAATTGTAAATGGCTACATAAAAGGATAGAGCACAGGTTTATACGTAATTTTGTTTTATGTGATACTTAGTAATACACAATCTCATATAACGAACGAACTGGATAAATATACTAATAATAAAACACACCTTTAATAATCCAACTAATAAAAATTAATAATGTAAAAACATTTTCAATCGTTAAGAAACAATCGAAAACGTTTTTACATTATTAATTTTTATTAGCTGGATTATTAAAGGTGTGTTTTATTATTAATACACAATCTCCATTTAAAATAAGAATATTATTTAGATGAATGTGTAGAATTCAAATNTGAATATAAGACGAAGTGTGACTTTAAAGATCAAAATAAAGAAAATTAGATTTATTAATACAATTCTAATTTTATTTTATTTAATAACAAATAAAATATTAAATGCACATAAATGCACGCATTGTCCTGCAAAACTTACTGGCATTTTAAACTTCAATGAAAATTCTTGTAAAATCAACAACATAATTTGTTCATGTAAAGCTGGACAATTGGGAACCTTTTTTGCCAATTCTTAATAGTCAAATTCACTCTTCGTTGATTACACTTACGAGTTTCTTCAAATTTCCGAATAATCATCTGTTTTCACATGAGAATCAATTAAAACATATCCGGCACCCATGTAATTTTGGAATTCAATTCAAAAGCTTTGCTTTTCCTATTCATCTTTACTCCTGACGATACACAAGAACAATTCAAATGACCCAGATAAAATACTTTTGTTTTTAAACACCAGAATGTAAGAATCTGGTAAAATTATGCAAATACATAGTTTACAAAAATTATACAAAAATGAAAAGAATCCTTCACTCGTGTATAGGACAATCTAGGTCTTTGAAGCATTGAAAAATGGATAAAAACTTCGTCTTATATGCAAGTAAATACGGTATATAATATACATTAATTTAAATGGTCTTACATAGATTTCTATAGTTTATATGTTACTAAAAAGGAAATGAAAACTAGAACAGATATAAATTGAAAATTAAGGAGGGAATTTAACTCAAATTTGTGTTATTTAAGAATTAAAGAATAAAATAAAAACTAGAACTATAATTGTTATATAGTGATAGTTAATATTTAAATATACTTATGTACGATTGTTTATTACTTTTTTATTGCCTCCAAGTAAAACAAACAAAGTCATATATCAATTTAATGTGACATCGTATGAATATTTAATGTACGTAAAAAAATCGATATTTTATTTAGACTATTTTCTCAGTATATATATTTATTTATTTATTTAATTTTTATATTTTATCTTCTACTATATCCTCCATTATTTAATATAATGTTTATATTAAACTGAATAATAAAATTTAAAAAATAAATTATAATTGTAGAATCACACTGGCATCTTCGAAGACAGTCTGTTATAGTTCAAGCAGATGCATGAAATGGCTGCAGATTCGGGAGGAAATAGCAGTGATAATGAAGCAGATGTTACCACTCCATTTGTTCAAGTAGATTTCAATGATTTAGATTTTTACGAAAGATGCGGGGAAGGAGCATTTGGTAGCGTCTATCGAGCAGCATGGAAACCACAAAATAGAATAGTTGCTGTAAAAAAGCTACTCGTTCTAGAGAAAGAGGTAAAACAGATCTTCTGTTGTTGATGATGTTAATATATGATTAAATTATTTTAATTATATTAAAATGATTTAATTTTATTAAATTTCTTTGATATATTTATTGATGCAGATGTTTGCTAATACAATAATTTAGATCTGGTTAATGAAATTTTAAATGTTTTTAGGCTTTTATAATAAGCAATCTAAACTTAATTTTAGTGTTAGATCTTTCCAAATAATGTCATCAGAATTATATGTTTTCAGTATTGTCAATATTTCAAAGAAATAAAGAAAATAGAATACATTAAAATAATAAAAAAAAAATCATAGCATTTAAACATAAAGTCAGTATGGCATTTCTCGTATTGTCTCATTACATTTTCAGTTGTTAAGCTTCTTCAAAACTTCCTTTAAGTGGTTACGGCATTACCATTTATTAAAATGTTTTACTTTTATTACACTTAAAAACAATATTTATTGGATTCTATCATCATTTATTTGTATATTAAGTGCTTTTATTAATTGAAAACATTACTTTCAATTAAAAAACATAAAAATTAACATTTAAAAAATACATTTTTGCAATATGAATTAGTTTTGTTAAAGAATGTTTCGTAGCAGTAATGTTCTAAATGATTGAAATATATGATAGACATATAATTAATGAAATGGGTAACAACTTTAAACAAGAAACAAAAATTATAATTATTTATTTCAATTTTTTGTTAAACAAATATTTGTAGATATCAAAAATAATCTATCTTTATTATAAACAGTAATAAATAAATCACATATATAATAGATTTAATTGTTATACACTGTAGATGCTGCTGTGAAAATCTAGAATAGTGTTACTTGTTTCACATAAAATTTTTATAAGCTTTTCTCTCTTAAAATGATGATATACATTGAAGTATTTTTCAAAGCACTGATCTCTAATTTGATTTATTCCTATGTCATTTCCAGTAGTGTACAACAGCCAAGATGAATTGCATTTCAAATTTTCAAACCGAAAGCTAATATATTGGAATAAAGCAAATATATTGGAAGACAAAATGGTTGGACAATAATCCTTTAAGTGAAACTTATTTAAAGAAATCAAGATATATGATGTTGCTATTCGATCATATATTGAATGAAAGAGAATTATAGACTTTTCAAAATATATAAATGGATATAGGGAGTTGACTTCCACACAAAAAAAATCTATATCGTCCTCAAAACAAATGAGACAGTTGCAAAGAATTTTAGATTGAATGATTAGTAAGAAGATTTAATTAAGCAATTATAAATTTGTTATATATGATGCAAGTTATTTTATGTAACTTTGTGGATTTGATGATCATTTGAGCTTCTTTAGAGATGATATTGAAACAGTCATCTTTTATCAAAATTTATCACAATACAAAAACATTTACTCATTTAGTTTGACAAATAATATTGGATAAAGTTAAAAACTAGTTAAAATCTGATTATAAGTTTTTCATTTTATATTTGGATTAAGGAGTCTATGTTGATTTTTAATCCAAGTAAAATATAATATAGAAGATACAATCAAGTTACTTGCAAAAGATGTATGTTAAAGAGTGAATAGTTTTACTGCATTTTCAATATTTATACTCTTTTTGTTTTCTTATTTATGATTTTTAGAATAATTTGTATATAGGACCCACTCTAGTGACCTAATGGATAGTTTGCTAAAGAATTTTTTTAGTCACGTTTTAAGATTTAAATCAATTTTGTGCAAATATTATGTGCTTAATTTAAAATCTTTTATTTAGGAATTGTTTGTGATCATTAATTAGTTTTGCATTTCATAAAACCAATACTAACTTACAAAAAGTAAACAAATATGCTAAGAAAATTTATTCCTCTGGAAGTGTATAAGTTATCGTTTTTGAATCAAAAATAATAAGCAAGAGTAGTTCATTAAATAATTGATAAATTTATGACTAATTATTTATAATAAATTTTTCCATTATTATGTTTTAAATTTAAAAATGTATAAATTACAGGCTCAAGTACTCAGCTTACTAAGTCACAAGAATATAATTCAATTTTTTGGAGCTGTTATTAAACCACCAAATTTCTGCATCATTACTGGTAAGTAAAATGAGCAAACGAAATTTATGATTTAAGAATACAAGAAATTCTTTAATTCCAAATTATTCCTATAATGAACATTTCCCTAAGTTAAACAGCTGGCAATCCTCAGAAAATGCAGTTTATTACACTATATGACAAACAAATTTCAAAATTTTTTGGTAAAATTTATATTTAATTTCTGTCATTCATGTTGCAGCAGACTATACTGACAATATCCATTTGAGAAGAGGTTGAGGACCCTAGCTTCAACTATGAGCATTACTATCTTCACAATTATGAATGGTTTCAAATATAATAGACACAAGACAAGTTGCCAGATATGCAGTTTTTTGCCAGTCATGCTAACAAGCAGTTTTATGCCAATGTTGCAACTTTTTTTTAACTTATTAAAAACATTTATTTCCGACTTTTTATCTCCTATCTACAGATTTCTGACATTAAAAACTAATGCCTGTTAACTAAATATCAAAATTTTAGGATTAATTTTCCTCAGTAACGAATAGAACTTTTTTGTAAAACCATTTGTGTAAGCCTATGCTAATTTCTGGAAACACTGACACAAATACAACAGCTTCTGGAACCATTATACAGTCGACACCCCTATAACACTGTTGATAATTCAAAGTCATAACTGATCATTTGTTGTTTGCTTTATATAGAATTTTCCTTATACCAAACACCCAAAATATTGCTATCTCTGAATTTGTTAATTAGAAAATTTTCTGTAAATTGTATATATTTATTGGAATCGGTTATATATATTTTTTTATAGAAGCAATGAATTTTAAATTCATTAAAAATTGGAATACTAAATTTAAGCTAAAAACAACTTATTATCTAAATTAGTTAAGAAACTTTTAACTTAAATTCTTTTTAACTGTTATATTTTCTTTCAAAATTTTCCAAATTATTTAATTTAAATTTTTGATGATGAATTTTTGTGTTTTGCTAAGAAAAAGAATTCTAGCCTCCAATTCTTGTAATTAAAAATCATGCAAGCATTAGCTTGGTTATCTGGAGAATATGCTTGATGCTGACTGTCATTAATTATATGATCATTTTATTAATTCATTAAAATTCTCCTTTTATTATTATTATTTTTTTTTTTTTGTTTTTTACTGGATATAACATTGTAATTATCATAAAAACATTATTTCCAGTAATCAAGCTTGTAAAGCAATTTTTCTTTAATAATTTTTTTTAAATTATGATATTCAGTTTTTCAATATCACTATGAAAGAACACAAATAACTAAAAAATAAATTATTAAAAAACAACATGACAGATTAGTTTGCATGGAAAAATGTAAATAAAATCATCAAAATGTATTAATATGTATTCAGCTTATTTTTGTTAAATATATGTAGCTTTACTTTTATTAAATAAATCTACAGTTTAAGAACGCTGAATAAAAATCTGAAAATGTACAGATATTTTCCAGGCCAAACTGACATCTTAATTATAAATTCTTCAAAATATCCCCAATATCTCATATACATCCATCCAAATATATATACAGGTAACCCCCGTATAACATGGCACTTCTATAGCACGGATTCACTCTAACACGGTTCACGAATTCGGTAAAGCCCTCATACAACATGAAATGTACTAAAGGGTGCATTCTTTTATCCCTCCGCGTAACTCCACACAAGCATTCTAATTGTTTTCGTGGCTACTTTGAATGCTCTTTCAACAAATAATCCATTTAATGGTTAAATTTTACAATTGGGACTCTTCTTTTGCCTCTAAAAGCTCATTTTAGAATTATAGATTCCTCCATCACGATACTGTCGATAGTGTGGGCGCTGCCATCTTTCTTTCATCATTGTTCCTAAATGCCTACAAACAGCAGTGCACTCCCATTGCAGAGCAACCACTATTAACGAACGCACCCAAAAACTGTTACCAATTGATGATGCTAATGCTGAGATCATCATATAAAATGAATAATCCTCTGGTAAAATATTTACTTAAATAATAAATAAGTATTTTACCTATGAAAAAAAAAGAATAATAAATCCAATTTAAATAAGGATTTAACAGCATGTTTTTTAATTTTTGGAACCTAACCCCCCTTTTCGCACTAGTTCTTTGTATCTTATAACACGGCAATTTTTTGGAATGTAGCTCCCGTGTTATACAGGAGTTACGTTCCACGGGAATTACAGCAAATTTTTATATATAAAATTAAATGAATAACAATTAAGATATAGTTATATTGCATGGAAAAGCTTGAGATTTAATACTTATTTGCGTGATACAACTAATTTAACCAAGATTATTAATACATATATAAATATTGTTTTTTTCTGTTCATTTATTAACTGGATAGTGCTGATTTTTAATAAATGAGTAACACTCGAAATATAAATTTCAATATATGATTGCCCACCCAAAGATGTGAATTCAAGGACATTTGGGTGGACTTATAATATCATTCATTTTAAAACTGTTGAAAAATTTCCAGTAAATTAATGTTTTGTCTTAATTATGCATTTACTTGCTTTTAAAATACATTTAACATATAAAGAAAATAGCAATTTAATGCTACATTATGATGCAGACAGCCTCTAATTTATGATGGGGTTATGTTCCAGCCCCAAATTGTTTTCACATATAATACTTCAATTATACTGATGTATGTAATTACTTTTTTATAGTTTTCTTTTTTATGTAAATATATGTAAGTATTGTGTGCCATAACTGTTTAAAAGGTAACAAAAATGAAATTAGAACACTTACCTTGGGTTAGAGCCTTATGTTGTAATTGCCACTGTCAGACCTGACCCCTTTGATTGTGTTTGACAGTGGTGTATCAATGATTTGACATCTGTTGGATGATTTATGCACTGTTGGAGTGATTGTATGTGTAGAATTATATTTGATGCTCTACTTTTTTTATTTGTTTGTTTTAGTGAGTTTGGATTTTTTTTATAAATTATTGTAATTCAGCCCATCATAAATTATATTTTAATAAATATTTAAAAAATTGTAGACCTATAAATTCTCATTGTCATCCATGTCTGTGTCGCTGTCTGTTCTTCCTTAATCTTGAGAACGATGTTAGATAGATGAAAGTCAATACCAGATAAGGAAAGTTAGGGAAATTAACTATATTAACTATACATGAACTTCTGCTTTGGGCCTAAAATTACATTATTTCAATTCAAAAATTTTCTTCTGAACAGGGTCAGATACATGACTGGCATGACTTCATTGTTAATTAACAGGTAAAGTACAATGTACAGGAACAAGACACTACTAAAGTGCATTGCAGCCCAGAACTGTGGCAATGCCACAATAAATAATTTCTTGTTTCACTTGTTTTCTTTTCACGTATCATGATATGATATATAGGATATTGCATTTAAAATTTAATTTTTTTTATTTCATTTTTTTAAGTAATTTTATTCCTTTTTTTTCTTCTAGCTTAGGAAATTTTTTAAGACACTATACACTATTTTTGTGTTTTTTTAAAAACTATAAATTTAGAATATAATAATAAAAATAGGCTTAATACATTGCTTATGATACAATTTCAACTTTTTAAATTTACTATTTCAAGTTTACAAAAAAAAATTGTAACTTGTTTGGTATAAAAACAGAACCATTTCATTATACATTATTAGATGACAGTACAGTTCTGATCTATAACACTGTTTGATAATTATCATTCAAATAATTGTATTTGCTTAGAAAACAAATATAATGCATACAACTTTTACAAGCTAAACATCAAGAAACTTTTCATAATTATCACAAAATAAGCATATGTCTTAGTATATTATAGTATGTTATCATTACCAATAGAATTAGAGATTAGCGGAAAAGTTATCTATTTGCCTTTCAGACAACTTTCAGGCTGATAACTGATGATCTGTATGATGATGTGCAAAAACAATATAATTTGGATTGATATCTTTGTAATAATGCATTTTTTAATGGTATTATTTGCTTCCTTACTAAGCAAATGAAATGTGACCTTCTAATTGAAAAAAAAGCAAGAGTTTAATTAAAACAAATACAAAAGTTAGAAGTTATAATAAGAGAATCAATACATTATCCTATTCTTAACAAGATATTATATATAACTTTCAAATAAGAAATATCTATGAAAATTATCTGAAGCCAAAAATAATATGAGAAGATATTTAGTTCAATTACTATATCTAGTATATAAGTGTATGCTGACATATAAATATGTGCATATTAAATTTTTTAATAAATTAAACTATAGAATTTTAATAATTTATTCTCATGATTATTAAATGTCATTTTTATTCACTTAAAATATTTTTTGTTATTATTCAGAATATGCAGAAAATGGTTCTCTTTATGCATTCCTTGCTCAGCAAGAACATAATTCTATGTTGAGTTTTGAACAGATTTTACGTTGGAGCATTGAAATTGCTGCAGGTAAGATTTAAAAAATAAATTTGCTATACTTCAAAAAGTTCAATAAACGTATTGTTCTATCAAAAATGTCAAGTACCAGAAACTGTTTCCATTATGAATGTAATCACAATGCAAATAGTTTTTGAAAAAATGCTTATAAAATTAGAAAAACTAATTACTTTTCAATATTGTATAATAAGATATAAAAATGCCTCATACAGTCTGAGGTAATAATTGGGAATTGGAATGGGAAAAAATGTCATATGATCAAACAAAAGAACAACAACTGACTAAAAATTTGGTAATGAACAATGAAAATTTATCCAAATAAAACATAATTTTCAACTAAAACTATTAAAACAAATATAAATTTCCTACCGTGATATAAGGTTGTTTTAAGTAAATTTGGTAAACATGTAATGTCAAGTTATTTAACCCCATTGTATAGAATTTCTAAATAAATCATACAAAAATTAACTAGTAGTCATGGAAATTGAATCATCTATGATATAAACCAGAAAGCATCTGTACAAACAGATGTGCAAATTTGCTTATTTAAGCTATCACAAACCCATTTATAAAATTAACTTTTTAACTGTCTTGGTTATGTTGTAATAGAAAACGTAAGTAAATGTAAAAAATTTAATATCTGATAGAATTATGACTGATGTAAATTATTCTTTTATTAGAAGGAAAAAGACAGAATTAATGCTACTGTAAACCATAATGTACAAAAAGAATTTGAATGTTATAAAATGTTATATTGAATATGGTGTTAAATTGGAATTTCTTAAGAAATTGTAATTAGGAGGAATATATTTTTACTTTATAAAGTTTTAATAAATTTTAAATTAATTTTACATTAATTAAATTAAAGGGATTGAAGAAGGGCAAGAAATATCCAAAAGGCATATTCCTGTATGAAAGAGTATCTCTTGTTGAGTTTGGCTTCCAGAAAAACTACCATATAAGTTTCATTGAATGTATAGGGTTTTTTTTGGTCACATCTATGCAGATTAAATTTGGATTCATCTGAAAACAACAGAATTCTGTATGTTAATACCCCAGTCTGCAGGCTATTTAGCCTGGACAAGTTGCTGTTTGCACATTCACTTGTCAACAGTGGGCTTTTAAACCCAAGTTACACAGGTGAGATGTAACTGTCTACTCTTTCCACTTTACTTTCATTTTGGAAGAACTAGCAGTACATTCTTGCAGGCTGAGATGCTTCAACATACTGTCCTGTTATGACATTTTCAATCTTGATTGATTGACAATGCATTCTCTGTGATATAATTACTAGAAACATTTCTGCAGTAGATTTCATGAAAAACAATCTCATGATTTTATTATTTTATGAATGATGCAATCGTTACAGTTTCTTGCAGATCTGCAACAAAATGATGCTCTAATTTAAATAAATAAACACATTTTTGTAGAATTTTATGAGTGAGCAATTTCCGTGGTTACTACTGTAGCACTAAGAATCTTTCTGTGAGAATTTGTTCATCTTATTTTAAGTTTCATAATTTGTTTGATAGATGTATTGTTTCAAATAACAAATGAAAAGCCAGATTTAGTGGTGTGTCCTGAGGGGACCAAGGAGCCCTGGCACCCTCTAAAGAAAAGGAGAAAAATAAAAACACTAGAAAATTTTCCAAAAATTATTAAAATTCTTTATTTATATTGTTTCATGTCTTCTATTTCTTTACTACTTATGAATTAGTAGTCACATAAGGTGGGAATTTTACTTAATTTGCAATTAAAACTTGTTTTCTGTTCAAATTAGCTATGCCCAAAATTAAATCCTGAGTGTGTCACTGGCCCGATTCCTTTACCAGTCTACTTAAAGCTAATTAATAAGTAATTTGGCTAGAGGACAAATTACTTATTAATTAGCTTTAAGTAGACAGATGAAGGAGCTGTTTATACATTGTTTGAATTAATTATCAGGTTAATTGTCTATGTGATATCTAAATACTGTTAACCTTCATGCAATTATTTTTTTAAATGCTTCAATATGAACGTTGCATAATAGTTTAATGTAGCTGGCTATTTTAAAAATATTTTTTAATAATACATCATACAGTTGGTTTTATTTTATGCAGGATAGATGTATGTATTTGCAGGTGGAAAATTGTATGCACAAGGATAATTCTGAGTATTAATGCACCTACTGAAATTCATTGTGTAACCAAAAAAAAAAACAAATGCTGTAATAATTAGAAGCAATTTTCTGTGGCCTGTCTTTGAGAAAAAAATTATAAAGATGAAACAAAAATAAAAAGTTTGATAATATTAAGAAAGCAAAAAACATTGTGTATGCAAAGTACAAGTTGTATGAAAGTAAAACAAACTTTTGGCACTACATTACTAAATCAAAATTACAACAAGAGGGTGCTTGCTGTAAAGCACATTTTAATACTTTTCTGTTAATTGTAAATGGCTACATAAAAGGATAGAGCACAGGTTTATACGTAATTTTGTTTTATGTGATACTTAGTAATACACAATCTCATATAACGAACGAACTGGATAAATATACTAATAATAAAACACACCTTTAATAATCCAACTAATAAAAATTAATAATGTAAAAACATTTTTAATCGTTAAGAAACAATCGAAAACGTTTTTACATTATTAATTTTTATTAGCTGGATTATTAAAGGTGTGTTTTATTATTAATACACAATCTCCATTTAAAATAAGAATATTATTTAGATGAATGTGTAGAATTCAAATAATAATAAAGATTATGATTTCATATAAATATTGAAATTTAAATTACTTTATTGAAAATAATTTTATTTTTCTTAGGTATGAATTATCTGCACTATGAGGCACCTGTAAAAGTAATTCACCGAGATTTAAAATCTAAGAATGGTAATTTATCATGAAATATGACATACTTTTAATAAAATTAATTATAGTTATACAACAATAATTATAATTGTGCATTGTATTTTAATGAGCTAAAATTACTAATAATGTTTTAATACAAATTAAAATAAAACCTATAAAAGACTTTGCTAAAAATATTTTATGACTGAAACATCTTTTTACAAGTAGTCCTCAATTAATGCATTTTTGTTTTTATGTACTTTATTAATTAATTAAGAACATTTCTTGTACTATATGCCAGTTTTTCAATATAATGTGGTTCTGGAAGTCACTAATAGTCACTAGAGTTTGCTTAACAGGCTAATTACTGGTTGCAAAGGAAGTTTTGTTGCTAGAGTTATAAAAATTATAAAATTTCTTATTAAGCTAGAAAAGTTTTACTTCTTACAGTGAAAATGTTACAATGTGTAAAACAGACCATAAAAATTAATTTTTATAAATGATTTTGATATTGCCGAAACCAAAACTGGCAGAAAGCATTAAAGCAGGATAGCTGAAACTTTGTCAGCAGAAAATGTAAAGTGAAAATCTGCTGTACAAAAAGTATATCAACTATATTATGTCCAAAAAAAAAATGAGTAATCTGAGAGTCAAGAACCTGCTATAAGTAATGAGTCGTCTAAAAATAAAATGTTTGTTTAGGTAAATTTTCAATTTTAATTAAAAATTTAAATAGCTAAAAGGCTTGTTTTAAATTATTATATTCATAGATCAAACTACTTCAGTATAGTTTTATTAATATTTATTTTTTCTTAACTTCAAATAAATTTACAATAGTTTCTTTTTCTTTTCAGTTGTTATTAGTTCTGATTTTGTTTGTAAGGTAAGTAATGCATTAAATTATACAGCAAGAATTTTGATAGTTTCTCTAATTATGTAATATTTCATGATGATGCTTATTTTAGATATGCGACTTTGGAGCATCTCGATTCTTAGGTGGCACCACAAAGATGTCTGTTGCCGGAACTTTACCGTGGATGGCCCCCGAAGTAACTATTTAGCATATATGAAGTGCGAATTAAAAATGTGAATGCATTATTAAATTTTGGATTTCCTCAATTACAGGTTATACAATGCTTACCAGTATCAGAAGCATGCGATGTATGGTCATATGGTGTTGTGCTTTGGGAACTTTTCACTCATGAAGTGCCATTTAAAGGTATAGAAGGCTTTCAAGTAGCTTGGGCTGTTGTAGAAAAAGAAGAGGTAGTTATCAAACAATTTACAGATAGAATAATCACAAAATTTTCTTGTTTAAATAGAAGAATTTTTTCTAGCGGTTACCTATTCCAAAATCCTGTCCTCCAAAATTTGCTGATCTTATGAGATGGTGTTGGAAATCAGATCCAAAGGTATCACATTTATTAGATTTAAGGATCTTTTATTTGAATATAAAGATAATTTTTTTAATTATTATAATAATTAATATTTCAGGAGAGACCAATTTTTTCTGTAATATTAAAACAACTACATATTTTAAAAGAAGATGGTAAGTTTAAACTTTAGCTATGTTGTTAATACAAGGTGTCCAAAAAGTTACTGTGCATGGAGAAATTTTTAATTACATTAAAGTTTACATGTGACATTGTATACGAGACTCATAAGTTGTACGTCCCACGTTTTCACTTTGCAGTAGATGGCACTTCTGCTTGTTCACAGATGTTCTTTTGGCTTTTGGATTACAGTTTTTGGAAGACTTCTTTGCTGATCTCCCATGGAATCTTGCCTTATAGGCCTCCAGACTGCACTCTCTCTAGATTTTGGAGCTTCTGGGGTGCATTTCCTATAGGATTACTGCAATATCATACATAAAAATTCACTTTTATTAAAACTTGAATCTTTTTTACTGCACAGCAACTTTCTGGACACTCATTGTTTTGCATTGGTTTTTCACACACACAACATTATAAACTATTATGGTAAAACTTCTGTAACTTGAAGTTTCAACAGGCAAGAAAAAATTTTGAGTTACAGACAATTTGAATTAGAGAACAATAGAGTGAAAAAATACTGATTCTGAATATATTTGTGTTGGGTCGGGTGTTTTCCACGTGTGAAAACCTAATGACCGGGATTAAATCTGGAACCGATCAGGTTACACCTACGTGTGGGTGCAAGATTTGGGGATGTCTTTTGTTCGGGTCAGTCAGACGAGCAGGACGTGACCGGTGTCCAGTCCGACCGTTATAATTTTTTTTTGTTATATATTAAACAGCAATCTATGATTAGAGATCTATACACCTTTAAGAACTTAACAATTTGTATTTTTACCTTTCTTGTATTATATAAAAAAGTCTTAGATAGTTTTTTTATTTTAAACAACCTATATAGTGCTTTTCGGCAAAATGTTCAATGTATCTGATGGAATCCAACAGTTTTGCAGGTATATCTTGTTGAGATAAAGCAAGTGGTCCTCTCATTTTGAACTGGAACATTGTCTGCAAATGGGCATTGACAATAGATACAACCTACTGTCTATGATAATTTGTCATGGAAATCCAATAATTAAGATTAATTTGGATAGAATAAATATTAAAATTCAAGTCAGGAAAGTTGAAAGTAATATAAATCAGTGTTGGGGACCATGAAAACCTTTGACTTGGAAAAAATTTTGAGTTGAGGAAACTTAATTAAGTTAGAGACATTGAGTCCTACTAAGTGCTTAATTTTATTCAAATTAAAGAAATATTTGAGTTAGAGAAGTTTTACTGTATATATTGTTTTATTTCTGCTGTAATCTCAGATAATATTTATACAATATTTGATCTACATATCAATATATTTCTTGTTATTTAAAAGATAAAATTTGAAAACTGCAAAAGTTTGTTTTTAAGCTGGCCTAAATTTGTAGACATAGCATTAAGTAAAACATTGAATATCCCAGTTTATAAAATAGATTTTAAGTATTTTGCATTCATAATTTGCTTCCAAAAATTAATATTAAATGTTGAAAAAATAAATTATTTCAAATTTCTAGAATAAAAAGACTGTCAGTCCTCAGTTTTTTAAATTAATTTTTATTTCTAGCTGTAGGTTTTGTTTAATGCAATAATAATAAAATTTTTTCAATTTTAAATATGCTTAGATTTTTGCATCACCTTTCAAAAGGTTTTTGTACTGAATTTTGATATTCAGTACTTTCCCAAAAGATTAATCTTCAGAGTTTTGCAGATAGAATTTATGACGTTTTGAAACATATCGTACACAAAGAGGATTTGTTTATTCTTAATAGTAGAAGTCAATTCTCACATACTGGTTGTCACAATTGCATTTTTGTCTTTTATTATTTAGGGAGGGGTTCTTGGTGCAGTTTCATATTCAATAAAACACATACAAGTAGGTGACTTGCCTTTTGTTTGAAAAAAACTAAATCTACTATAAGCTTCTTGTTGAATATGAAATGGCATCATGAACAATTCCTCAAATACCAATAGAAAGAATACATGTAATGAACCAGTACTTGAGGATGACTCTTGGCCCTCTTCTGTTGGAAAAATGAATTCCTTTCCCAAATATTTCTGAATTTTAATTTATGTTACCTCTTTTGTGACTAACACTCTTGTAATATTATCCTGTGGAAAAACAGAATACCATTAAAAAATTTTTCTTTGCCTATTGTCCTAATTGAATCATAAATAAATTATTCTAAATATTTGATTTTCTAGGAGTAATCATAAAATTACTCGAGAGAAAATGAATCATACAGGAACACACACCAAAGTTAGATACACTGTGTATCTAAGTTCATTGTGTGTTCCTGTGTGATTCCATTGTTCTCTCTCAAGCAACCTTATGCTTACTCCTAACAATTAAAAAGAAAATAAGAGTTAATCAAGTACAAATTTGATTTTCTAATCAATTTTCTTGTACATTAGTGCGTATGCATGCACAGATATATATAAATATATATATATAAACTAGATACTATTACAGAAGAGACTATTTAATAGTGACAATAGAAATTTATTTCACGAAAGGAAGTTATTTGAAGAAAAAATTTCATTACAGCAGTCAACTTAATCCAAATCATCATATATACATTAAAGTTTACATACTTTCAGATTCCTTATATGATGAAGCTTCTATCTACCTCACTCAGAAAAGTGTTTGGAGGTAAAATGATTTCAATCTTTTTTAATATGATGATTGAACTAAATTTTAACAAACTTACCAAATAACAATTTATAGGAAAGAAATTGAGTTTACACTTGAACTTATGAAGAAAGCAGAAAGAGATCTTAATCAAAAACAGAAACAGTTAGAAGAGTGGGAGAACCGTTTACTCGAGAAAGAAAATAAACTAAAACATCAGAAACTCTGCATGGTTTGTTTCAGTATTCAAGATTATTGTTTAAAAGTACAAAAAATTGCTTTATTTAATGTTTAAATCTTTCAGGAACTTTACAATCATGACGTAAACCTATGGTCTGAAAAAGATGTTGTGAGTATACATTTTAATCTAAAAACAGTTGAACATTTTTATTAATGTATGTGATGAAATATTTTTACTTCAGTATCTTTGGATCAAACAATTTGGAAGTGATGGTAAGAATTTCTCATTAATATTTTCATAAATTTATTTTAAGATAATTTTTAAATATTTGTGGATTCCATTAATTTTGTGTCACTGTTGTTTGTTTAGTAAGTGCTCAAGATTTAGAACAATATGCAGACTTATTCCTCAATCAACATATCACTGGAAAGCGTCTTTTGATGTTATCGTCAGAAACTCTTAAAGACATGGGCATTAATTCTGTTGGTCACAGAATACACTTAATAGTTAGTATTGGATTTTAAATAATGTGATGTTCAAATAAAATCAATTTTTATAATCTGTACATAAAAATTCCACTTCTTATAGGATGAAATTGAAAAATTAAGAAATCATAACAAGAGGATGATAGAATTTCCCCCATTGGAAAAGGTTAATATATATATATATATTTTNACAAATATGCTAAGAAAATTTATTCCTCTGGAAGTGTATAAGTTATCGTTTTTGAATCAAAAATAATAAGCAAGAGTAGTTCATTAAATAATTGATAAATTTATGACTAATTATTTATAATAAATTTTTCCATTATTATGTTTTAAATTTAAAAATGTATAAATTACAGGCTCAAGTACTCAGCTTACTAAGTCACAAGAATATAATTCAATTTTTTGGAGCTGTTATTAAACCACCAAATTTCTGCATCATTACTGGTAAGTAAAATGAGCAAACGAAATTTATGATTTAAGAATACAAGAAATTCTTTAATTCCAAATTATTCCTATAATGAACATTTCCCTAAGTTAAACAGCTGGCAATCCTCAGAAAATGCAGTTTATTACACTATATGACAAACAAATTTCAAAATTTTTTGGTAAAATTTATATTTAATTTCTGTCATTCATGTTGCAGCAGACTATACTGACAATATCCATTTGAGAAGAGGTTGAGGACCCTAGCTTCAACTATGAGCATTACTATCTTCACAATTATGAATGGTTTCAAATATAATAGACACAAGACAAGTTGCCAGATATGCAGTTTTTTGCCAGTCATGCTAACAAGCAGTTTTATGCCAATGTTGCAACTTTTTTTTAACTTATTAAAAACATTTATTTCCGACTTTTTATCTCCTATCTACAGATTTCTGACATTAAAAACTAATGCCTGTTAACTAAATATCAAAATTTTAGGATTAATTTTCCTCAGTAACGAATAGAACTTTTTTGTAAAACCATTTGTGTAAGCCTATGCTAATTTCTGGAAACACTGACACAAATACAACAGCTTCTGGAACCATTATACAGTCGACACCCCTATAACACTGTTGATAATTCAAAGTCATAACTGATCATTTGTTGTTTGCTTTATATAGAATTTTCCTTATACCAAACACCCAAAATATTGCTATCTCTGAATTTGTTAATTAGAAAATTTTCTGTAAATTGTATATATTTATTGGAATCGGTTATATATATTTTTTTTTTTTAACTGCATTTCATTAATAATGATGCATCTGTTTGTTTGAAATGAAATAAATGTAATTAGGATTAAAAATTAACAAATATTTTCATTAAAAAAGGTATAATAATAATAAGGTTTTATTACAGAACATTTGTCACAATCCTCTGCCTACATTTCATCGACCTAAAACTATAAAACTCACGCTATTGTTTGGAAATCATGTACGTTTGGGAATGTCTTCGTCAGATCATAAATGGAAAATGTTTGTTGAAGTAGACGATGAAGAAAATCCACTTAACGCTGTTACGTGTATTAAAGAAGTTAGTTTCGAATGTAGGCAAGCAGGTCTCTCTTTAACAAGGATCACTCAAGTTAGTATTCAGTTTGCTTTGTTATAGTTAAGTTTATAATTTTTTCTGTGAAACTGTTTTGTAATTAATTTTCTTTGTTGTTTAGCCTCCGTTTGTAATGGAAAGATGGTGTTTAGGAATAACTCCGGATACCATTGTTACGTGTATTGTTACTTATCAGGTAGATCAATATGAATATTTATTAACTAACATTGTTAACAATATGTTCAAAAGATGATATTGACACATTGAATTTTATTCACAGCACATTATCAAAAAACCTAGATTCACAAAACATTGTCATCAAGTCAAAACAGAAGGACAACTTTCAGAGCAAAGAGAAGTTACGTTAACACGAAGAATGATAAGAGGCGAATCAAACAGTCCTCATCGTAAATCTAGCCAACATAGCAGAAGCGCACCTATTATTCCCGATGCATGGAAAAATCGTTACTACTCTGATCAATTTCCTCTTCAAAATGATAATATTGGTAAGTTTTATTATGTGGAATTATTTCCTCTTCTTACATATCAAATTTTATAAAATGCTTTTTTTTATATATCAGAACAAAGTACATGGGCAAATGTTGCTTCTGGCGAAAGTCGTAATAGTCCATTTCAAAAGAAAGATTTTCCTTCTCTTGGAGCATCAGATACAAGCAGCAGTGAAGGAGAAAGCATTCTTGATACAGTTAAGGCTTTGGGGTTGCATCTTTTTAACGAAAGCTCTGCTGAAAAATTATCGCAGGCCAAAAGATTCATGAAACCCGACCGCAAAGTTTTATTCTCCCTGCACGAATCGAGTTCTTCGGAGTCGATCGGTAACAACGAAACTTCAAAATTCTTCAGAGAGAGAAGAAGCAGCACACCGTCTCGCAAATTGGGACACCAACGAAGAAAATACAGACACTCTTCGAGTGATTCGGGATTTCCTTTCGAAAATCACTGTGAAAGTAATCTCTTCGATAACGACCGTCTGAATAAGCACTTTGTCAAATTCCAACAATGTCGCATCAGGCTCCAGAGAGAGGTGGATCACGTTCAATCTAGCAGTCAGCGATCAAACACGAGCGAGAAATTGCACCAGAGAAACACCATGGATTCGTTTAACATCGGATTAGAGGACAGATTTTCACAATTTCCCTTTCGTTTTCACCAGCACGGAAACGGCAGCACGTTTGGAAAGCGATGCCGCGGAAGGGGAAGACTGTTCAGTAGGGAAAAGGGCGAGCCCGAGCTGAGAGCCTGGAGTTTAGACCGCGAAGAGGGAATGTAAAAACAGTATGCATATTATATTTTTGCTTGCTACCCATTTCCACCACTGTAATGTGATAATTATGTTCCATTGTATTTATTTCAATTAATATTTTAAAATGTCTTCGAGTCGGTAATTTTTAAAATTACCAACTTGAAAATGAAAGATCAAGGAAAATTTGAAAATATTTTCTTAAAAGAAAAGGAGAGAGAGAGAGAGAGAGGAGGCAAATTTTGATAAACCAAACTTTGGTTAACTTATCCCAATTAAATGTCTTAGTAATCCGTTATCACGACACGTTGTCTCCGACACTAACGGTCTCAGGTTGTGAACTCGTTATTCTGTAAATACTACCTTCCATTGACTAATGTGCCAATTGTGCAATAAAAAATTCATACCTCATCATTAAAATTAGACACAGAACACAGACAGACAGAGAGAGAGGGAGGGAAGAAAAAATACACACTTCGTGTACATTTTCTATCAAATTGGAGGCTTTTTCCCTCCCAACACGGCTTATAATCGTGCACTTAATTTTTTCTCGAAATTCGAAAAGCACAGAAAGAACTCGACACAGAGCACAAATTTTAATCGACAAAGTTTTTATCCCGGTCGTCCCTCACCGTTTTCCACACAGATTTGCAGCCGACGTCCGCGCCAGCTCTCCCTTCCCGCCGGCGGGATCCAAACCGCCGCTGGAAGGGTCCGGCTTTCGCGGGCGGTCTTTTCCACGGCATCAATTTACAGATTTAAAACAACAAGAGTATAATTTACCACGTGACAATCTTGTTAAGACTTCTGTTCCCTGCACAAATTCTTTTCAATTCAAACTTAGTGTAACTAGTTTGTGTTTATATGTATGTAAATAAAAAAATATTTATTATTATTATTATTATTAATTATTATTGTTATTATATATATTTACAATCATCACAGGTTTAATAATCTGATAATTATTTCAATTGTGATCAATTTACAGTTATATAAAGGGAAGAAATATATATATGTATATTATTCAAAAATATATTAGTTACCATAAAAATTGTTGAAAAAATTTTTGGTAAGGAAATATTTATTTGTATCTGTGTTTAGATTATGTACCTTTAAAAACAAACAAATAATTATTTATTTATGTAAATAGATGTTTGTGACAAATTTTAATTGTCTGTAATAATTCTTACCGCTTCAAAATACATTTTTTTTTCTTTTTAAAAAGGAATTTATATTTAGAAAGAAAAATTATATATTGTTAAAAACTCATGTATATATAGTGAGATTTAATTAAAACAGCTTTAATATAATTTTTCTTTTTGTTGCGACAGATGGCACCACCCGTTCGATTAAATCGCGCCGTTACGGAACGAAATATTTTTAAAACTTGCCAACAATCGAACAATACGCAATTAGGTGCTAAAAATTTGTGTAATTAAATAATAATTTATTTAAAAAATCGGGTATTCGTTTATTCGTGACGCAATTATCTTTAGTACTTTAAAAAGTTAATTGGTTTTACGTTAAAAGAAATTTTAGTTAAAAAAAAAAAAATTCAGTGCCGTGACCAGGATTCGAACCTGGGTTATTGCGGCCACAACGCAATGTCCTAACCACTAGACGATCACGGCTACCGAGACACGTTTCAAAACTCCCCTAACAAGCTTTATATACTAAGCACGTGACTCTTTTTTTCACCCGCCGCTTACGATTGGTTGGATTCAAAAATTTTTAAATTTAAAATTACGTTAACAATAGAAACTCATCGATATCGACACTAACATTTGCAGAAATTACAATACAAATAACACTTGTAGTTTCTACACGCCGCCGACAGATGGTGTTGCGAGACGTAAAATCGAATCGTTTTACGTTATCGCTTTTTAAGTGTACGCAATTAAAGTGTTATTGAAGTGTCTCGGGATGCATTAAAGGTGCAAACGTGTCCTTTTTAAATCGAAGATTTATGCAGAAAATGTCGCCAGTTAACATTAAAGCCGAGACGACATGAAAGCATTTGCATTTGTTGTTGTTTTTTTTTTTTTCTTTCTTCCTTTTTCTTGTTGGATTACAGCGCTATCGCCGCATAGATCAAAATCGTAAAAAGTATTTAAAGTTATGACATCAACGAAGCGGCGGGAAAGGAATCAAAGGATTTAGGAACAAAAACAGACCGCTGTCCACTTGTCATGCCGGTCATACTGACGCCTAAGGGAACAGCTTGTATATTTTGTAAGCTTGTTATTTAGTTTTTGCAAAGCTTGTTACGAATCACAAATGACACCAAGTAATGTGTTTGCCAATGCCTTGCACACTTGGCATGAGTATATTTATTTCGGCATTCATATTTCTAAACTTTATCCATCTTAAAACGATTAAAAATGGAGGAAAAAAATCATCGTGGAATCTTGGGTCACTCAGAAAAAACAATAACAAAAAAAGGAGGAGATTTTTAAAGTATTTTTTTTATTATTATTTATTTTATTTTTTCACTTCCATCGCTTATCTAGAAAGGACAGGGCCTAATTTCTAGCTAAAAACTATAAAACATCCATTGATAAAAGATTCTGGAAAGTAGTCAAACATCTATAAGGAAATCTGTAGCCAGAACGATGCTTAAAAGTAATTTTAGAACAAGAAGAAATGGGAAACTTAAGCACATATTCTTGAATCAGTGGCGTACTTGTGGGGGGTGATGTGGGTGTTGGATCCCCCAGCGGCTTTATGGTACGCTTTAATTTTTATTCATTCCGATTGTAAGCCCACTGCTGTACTTTTTACATCATTCTCTCAGATTACTCCAGAGCAAAATCTTAGTTACTACGCTGTCTTGAAAGAATAATACTTTTCAAAACCTGTATGATACGTTTTAGCTTGGAGAAATTCCTAAATTATTCACGAATGCATTCCAATTTCAGTTTTGTAAGTCTAGAGAACGATAGGAAATTAAAAAAAGCACGGTGAAAACAATCTTATATCGTAGCGTGTGACTTGATTTCTCATACAAAGATTAGATAAGATTTCACAACGTAAGGAAAAAATACTTCCTTGAGATGATTGATTTATCACCATCCTAACGAAACTTTCTCTCTCTATTAAGAAATGAAAAGTAATTCGAACAATCGGAACATCAGTCAATTTGATAAATCCTCTGCATGAAGTTTACAGAATGAATCCGAAAGGCCATCACCCCCGAGTATTATCGCCATTAAAATTTTTTGATGAATCCCTCCATTGTCTAATTCCAGATAGTTTAGACGTTTCAATTATAATCTTTGATGTGTTTTAAAAATGTTATCAAAGTCTAAATTCGTTTTATTAATAAAAATATAAATAATATTATTAACTTATCTGTAGCTTCATTTTCATAATTACTATTTATTAAAAGAAATAATAATAATAATAAACGACCAATCACTGAAACATGCGAAAAATTTAAAAATATCTTTAACCAATCAAAGCTCGAGATTTAAATTTTAAATTTCTTTTCCTTTTCTTAATTGGTTAATCGATTTTAATTTTAAAAATTTAATTTTTATTTTGAATTTTAGCATTTATTTTATTATTTTTTTTAATTCAAGATTTAAATAAAATTTGGATTAAAATTTTTAAAATTTAAAAGATTTTAACAGCGTTATGAATGAATTTAATTTTCTGGTAATGTCGTACGCTTTTATTTATGTCGTGTCTAGGGTAAATTTTTAAAGTAATTTGATTTGCCCATTCGTATATTTAAATTTGATGATTTGATTGGATTAAGCGTGGTTCAAATCGACGAAAGAATCGATTGACGTTAAGCGTAATTGGTGGAAACTACAACAGGAAGTACAAGAAACACGGGGCAATGGCCGCAACTAGAGGCAATATCTCGCATGAGAACGTCATAATTCAAAATTTGTAGCAAATTACCTGTCCTGTATCCCTTTTGTCATGTCTGCTATACTCATTAAAGTCTCTCTCCTGTTTGGAGCTAACTCTTTATCTAGAAGACGGTGCCCCGAAAGACAAATGTACATTTGGGACTTTTGAAGACGAGCATTGGCATCCTTTTTCGAAGCAAATGCATTATGCCCGAGGCGTTGTCGTGTCTCTAAAACAAACAGACCAGTGGGAAACCTCTAACAGACAGACAGAGCGATCTATCAACTCCTCCCCGTTTCTAACAACCCTTGCTCAGTTCTGACGGATGTTGTCAGGATAATGAGGCAAACCGTACCCGTTTGGGTGGATTACTTTCTTTATTCCTGGCTCACTCTCTACAACAAAGAGAATTTAAACAAATCATTGGCGCCATTTTCTTCATTTACATCTATAGCAAACTTGTTTAAATGATTATTATCTTCCACGGATTAAGGCTATGGAAGTTCAAATCAATTTTTCGCAAGTATGATGCGAATAATTAAGACTTTCCTCTTAAGATTTATTATAGTTGTTCGGCTGTGCTGAGATTTTTATCGTATAATCTCCCTCCCGCTCGTTATATGTTAATTATGTATGGACCCACGATAACCCTACTATGAAATTTAATTATGTGATACCGTAGAAAGGGTAGAATTATTATAGTAATTTTGAAAAATAAATATTTGCGAGTTTAAAAAAAATACTTTAACTAAAAAGAAAATTTTTTCATATTAATTTTTTAAATTTAAAAGTATTAAAAATTATTCAATTACCATTTATAAAATTTATATTATTAAATCATAAATTCTTGGAATAAAAAGAGAATTATAAATAATTATAATAAATATGTATGAAATTCTTTATGAATTTTTTAATTATTTAAATTATATTATACGATATTCATCACGGCTTATTAAAACACGGTAACGGAAGTAACAACCCTGTATTATTCTTAGTTATATATATAAATTACAAAAACACCCAAGGGAAATTTTTAGCTTAAAACTTATTCAGAATATTTCAGTTTTATGTAAATAAAAATATGATTTAAACTCGATATTATTTCATTCACAAGCTGGAAAAACTATAATTTGGCTGTTGATGCCGCTGATGGCACGCCTGTGAATGAAAGCGAACTCGACACTTTTTTCTTGCAACACGGCACGTTTCACAGTTGTCTTTTTGTTTTCCGGCAATGGCATCGGAACTACAGAGGATTTGGGACATTTGTCACATATGTATAGCGCAAGGCATTTACACGGCCGGATTGCACCAACGAGAGTAACGTTGTTATTTTTGTCGGCAATTGTATCCAGTTCTATTTAAATTTCGTTCGATGACGTAAACACTCTGGAAAAATATTCGAAGATTCTGTCTCTCGTGTTTTATTGTCGATGTCACCGGCCATCTGCCACTAATGACCGTTTTGCAGTACGTTTTGCGTCACCATCCTCTTCAAGCCGTTCCCCCTGAGGTGTCGAGGATCGGAATGTAGACGATGTCTATAAGCTGATTGGCGAAAAGTAGTAGTATGCGCGACACATCTACACAATGAGAAAGACATATAC